TGAGGCTTGCTGGTCTCGTGTGGCTCTCTGCTGGCCGGCGTGGAAAGTGCTTCTGCTCGTCACCCCTCTGGAGAAGTTGATACGGTCAGCCATTGAGGAAATGTTTATGTTCTGAGCTGAGGGGGACACCACTGGTGCTTTCTGGTTGGCCGCGCTGTTTTTTGTTCATATGCAAAGGTGAAAAGAGAATCAGTTAATACTCAACTCCAGACATGTGACAAGCCACAGACTTAAATCACATGAATGAGGACCACATTTTTATATATATATATAAAACACACACACATTTTTTTAAACGTTACAAAACAATGCAATAGGTTAATATAAGTGTTAAAGGTGAAGTGTGTAATTTCTGTAGTTACCCAACAGAACAGGAAAAATGACTTTTCAAAAATAATCTCCATCCTGAACTCACACCATTACAAAATATACTGGCATCATATGGTTATTGGCCAATATTTGAGTTTTTTTTAAATAGCCAGCAAACGGTAATCTTTAAAAACTCAAATTTTACACGTAATGCTGTCAAATGTGTTATTTCAAAATGAATCCATTTTACATGTTGTATATTATAATGCTGTGAAGCCTAAATCCACTTGTAGCATGTATTTTTTTTATTATTATTTAGACACCAAAGAATCCTGAAAAAAAATGTTTCCACAAAAATATAAGCAGCAACTAGGACAATAACACTTTTTTTCTTGAGCAGCAACTCAGCATATTAGAATGATTTCTGAAGGATTGTGTAACACTGAAGACTGGAGTAATGATGCTGAAAATTCAGCTTTGCAATCGTAGAAATATATATTAAAATAATTTTAAAGTGTATTATTTCAATGTAACTTTAATTAATTTAATTTTAAATTATTACCAGTATTTTATATCAGTATTCATATTTTATATCAATACCCTAATGCAATGTATGCATAGTGCCACAGTGTTTAAAGGACAAATGGACACAATTTAAGGACAAATGCTTAACTTATAGTCTATCTACATTAAACAGAAGACAAGTATTTTAACATAGACTACACACATCACCCTTAAGTTATCATGCAGCTATTACCAACAAATAACAAGACTCAAACAATGTCAGAAACCAAACCAAAACCAAAAAACTGAGGGAGACAAAACCATTGTAAGCATGCATACAACTGTCTGTGACACAAGATTTTAATGTTCCAGGATGGCACAAACGTCTTTATTAAAGGTTACGTAAGCAGTGAGACAGGTTTTAGAGGATATAAATGTAATGTGTCTGGTTTGTCTGCAGAAAAGAAGGGGTGGAGAAGGATGGTGCAGCAGAGCAACACAACACATGCATAAAAGGAGGGAGGACAATGAGTTAAAGCTTGCAGAGAAAGAAAGAAACAGATTATCAGGTACGTGACGTGTACAAAGTGTGTTTATGCGGAGGAGAAAGTGGGGCGGCGAGTAAGACGGATGGCGGTGTTATTGTGACGGACAATGAGTGAGAGAAAAATAAGCAGGATTAAAAAATAATTAAAAATTGAGGGCCTGGGAAGTATTTGGTACTTTGTCTGCGGATCTCACGTATTCTAAACCTCAAACCAACATTTCAAAGTTTCTGCCTAACAAAAAAAAAACAATCAATACAACTCGGCTCGTCCCTGGCTCTTGAAGTCGAATCCCCATCCGAATAGTTTTGGTTCTGGCTGCCACTTGCCTGGGGCGATGTGCATGGAGGTCTGGGGGACTGGGGTGGGCGGAGGTGGACAAAGACTTGTGGTGGCGGGTGCGGGATGAGGCGGCGAGGACCGCGGCCGCTGAGGCGGTGGAGGCGCGGGACCCTGGAGTGTTCAAGCTGGGGGAAAAGGCGAATAACAACAGCCCCCATGTGCGGACACCCCCCACATACAGAGTGGAGGGAGTTATGGGTGAGGTTGTAAAGCAGACAGGTTAGATTCAGCAAAGATGGAGGGATGGTTGAGAAAGTGATGGAATAAGACAAAAGCACACACCAGGAGATAAAAATACAACTCTGCATTGCGATAATGCAGGTTAGGATGCTATTTCTGACTTAAGTCTATATTTAGATCTATATATACAGATCAAAGCTTGTCAACGTCGGATCAAACTTGCATTATCGCTGGAAAGCTCGCTCTGTCTCTGTGCATTGAGTGAGAATCTAAAACGAGATGCTGTGCTGATCAAACGCGTCTGACAGCATAAGCCTCATGGGCATGATGTGCATTTAAAAGCTACTCAAATCAATTATTAAATAGGTAAAGTTAATCAAATTCATCATAATACATGCAGAATAAAAGCAGATGAAAGACATCTGATGCATTTGTGAGGGTGATTTGGTGGCAGGTGTTCCGTCAATGCCATAATGTCCGTATTTTTATTTGCTGCTCTGCAACCTGACCTTGCGCACACACATAAAACTCTTTCCGCGTCAGCATTCTGACTGTACTGTGGCTTGTCACCTCACGCAAACTTAAACATCCATATCACGTGGCTGCTGTTTTTCGGTTTCCTGAATCTCATCTCTGTGAAACCTGATTATTTGGGGCAAAATCACTAATTCCAGATTAAGGGATGAGACTGACTACATACCAATCAAGGGTAATACATCAGCGTGTCTCAGTATATCTGCAGTACATGTTCAGCAGTCGATGTTGGGGTTTTCCATTTCCATGAATTAGTATATTTAAATACTTTTCATTATTTGTGTACAAAAGTGTCCAATAAGGAATTTAATTTTTGGATTGCGGTCAGGTTTTACTACAACTAGAAAATGTAAAATTTTAGAGCAGGGCATAACTAGAAAAATATAAAATCGGATATTTATATAGACATATATCATTACTATGGCACAGATCAGACTTCTTATTTAGTACTAAAGTACATCTCTAATGTGCAGTGCTCTGACTGTAGGAATTCACCACAGTTTATATTTATTGGAACCTTTATGGGAACCATAAGAGAAATTTTCCGGGCAATTTATAACATAGGCTATATCGACTGCATCTGTGGCATTCTATCGATTATCACAGACAATTATTCCCACTTGTCTCTGAGGCTATGTCCACACGTATTTTTATAAAAGGAGTTTTTCCTTCTTCCGTTTTAAAAAAAATCTCCGTCCACATGAAAACGCAAACGCATGCTATGAAGCACTGTCAAGAGCATGCCAAACCAACAGGTGGCGATATATTCTCAACCGTAAAGCCATGTTGGCCAATCAGAAGCCTGAAAAAGTCTCCAGTAGGCAGAGATAACAGCGCAGGCGCCGATGTCACAAGCCAAAAACTCCGGTTTCGCTGTCTACACGATAACACAGCAACCAGAGTTTTTGAAAATCTTCACCCTGGGAGGCATTTTCAAAAATATTCGGTTTCAGTGAACTGGTGCTGTGTTTGCATGTGGACGAACGGCCTGCGGGTTTTAAAAATAACTGCGTTCGTGTGGACAGGGCCTGAGTTTGTAAAAATTAACTAATGCAGTTACAATAGTTGGCATGCTGCCCAGAGGGTTTAAGAGGACTTGTGCAGCTCGTATTTCTGTTAAAAGCACTTACATTGTCTGCTTAAACTGTGCAGCTACCTGAATCACGTTTATGGAGTAGGACTACTTTTCTTGGCGGATGAAAACCTAGTTACAGATGGCGCGTTTCCATTACAGATTTGCGCAAAACTTTGGCGATATTTTCTGAATGTCGATAAAAAAGTATTGCGAAATGATGGCGTTTCCATTAACCAATGTTATGCGGCTAAAACGTAACCTTTTGCCTCTCGCGATAAGTCATGGCAATGGATTTTGTTGGGATTTTACGGATTTTGGCTATATTTATTCAAAGGAGGCTTATGCGTGTATCTTTACAGCAGCAGCAAAGAGAGCCGCTTCAGAAACGTGCGTGGCGCGGCTGGAATAAACCATAGACTGTATAAAAACATAAACACAAACACTGAGTGGCCGTAATCAGCTTCAGTGACCGTATCAGAGCCACACTGCACCACAGACGTGTGCAATGTAAATTGTCTAAGTATTAATAGTAGGGAAAGCCCCTTAATACTGGAGCGCGGCCACTTATGAAGTATTTCTTGGAGGTTATAGTACACTGAAGAATGATCATATGACTTTTTACATACGCCATGTGACCTGTAAATGCGAAAAAGCCGTTTCCATTGCAGTTTTGCGAATTAATCCTTTTTCGCATTGCCTGAAAAACCACCTCATGCGAGCGTAAAAACTTTTTTGCGATATATGGCCGTTTTCGCGCAATTGACGCGTTTCCATTAGGTGTATTTTCAATTCGCAATTTCAATTTGCGCAATTTGAAGGGTAATGGCCTAGTGTTTGCACAACTTGCGTTTACTAAAAGAAAGTAACCAGATTTACCGTTTAGATTTAGACAGGCAGCAGGGTCCGTAAGAGATTCTACACACAACTAATTTACAATAACAAACATAATACCGGTAAAAAGTATGATTTAAAAAAAAAATAATTTAATAGTTTTATCCAGCAAGGATTAGGGCTGTCGCGTTGAAGAAATTTCCCTTGTGGTAATTTTGAGTGGCTAAAATGGCTGTCCACCAACGTTTACCATCCAACCTGACAGAACTGGAGAGGATCTGCAAGGAGGAATGGCAGAGGATCCCCAAATCCAGGTGTGAAAAACTTGTTGCATCTTTCCCAAAAAGACTCATGGCTGTATTAGATCAAAAGGGTGCTTCTACTAAATACTGAGCAAAGGGTCTGAATACTTAGGACCATGTGATATTTCAGTTTTTCTTTTTTAATAAATCTGCAAAAATGTCAACAATTCTGTGTTTTTCTGTCAATATGGGGTCCTGTGTGTACATTAATGAGGAAAAAAAATTAACTTAAATGATTTTAGCAAATGGCTGCAATATAACAAAGAGTGAAAAATTTAAGGGGGTCTGAATACTTTCCGTACCCACTGTATATATATAATCTGTGTGTGTATGTGTTACGATATAACGAGGTCATATTCAGAAACCAATGAAACCGAAACCAAATAGCGTTTAAACCAAGTAAACAGTAGAGAATGACAAAATAACGATCCACATAACCGAACATAAACCTGACAGTAAGATTGTTAGGCTATTGTTAGCCTGTATGTATAACAGTTTGTTCTGATCCTCGAATCCGACTGGACAAGAGACTTTTTATTGATATTTCCACCTGTACGCGTTCTAGACGGGTATAATATAAATATAAAATATAAAAAATTATATTTTCAAAACTTGCGTGACACTGAAGAGTAGAGTAATGACTGCTAAAAATTCAGCTCTGTTATCACAGGAATAAATTACATTTAAAACATATGAAACAAAAAAAAAACATTATTATAAATTGCAATATTTTTTCACAATATGTTTTAATGTATTTGTGATCAAAAATGGGAGAATGTAAGACTTTTTAAAAATATAAAACTGTACTGACCTCAAATTGAAATGTCTGTTACAGTTATACTTTTCAAACTGAGATAATTTAAACATTGATTCATTGTGCTGCAATTGTAAGCATATAGCCATAAATGAGTTTCTCTGAATGAGTCAAAATGATTGCCGGTTCTGATCAATAGCATGCCACAGCAAAACATGAAGTTAGAAATAACCCAGAATATAATTTTATTGTATTGAAAGGATCCCAATCTGCTGAGCACTTGAATCATTACTCTTTTTTTTAATCCTTGGACTAATTCTAAGTTCCTGAAGGCATTGCAAATGTAGCTGAACAGATTTCAGCTCCGCGCTGCGCACGAATGTGTGCTTGAGTGTGTGTGATTGTCAATGTGAGAATGTAAGTGTGTGCATAATAGGATTATGTTACCCATGTTGGCAGAGCAGCAGCCTGACAGAATGAGTCGAGAGCAGAGAAGCTTTCCAAACAGTCTAAATATACACATACGCACATACACTACTTTTAACACCAATACACTTTGCAGAAATTAGTTTGATGGGTGCTTCCACGTTATTCGTAGCATGAAACGAAGACTTTAAGAGAGGAACATTAAGAGGAATGTGGCAGTACCTGTCCTTGCCGTTCTGTACTCCCAGAGTTGCTCTCTCAGTGATTGGAGAGTTCCTGCTGCGGTTGGTGCCTGAGGACAGGATGCTGTTCTATACGGCACATGAAGAGCACACAGAGAGGTCAGTGACATGAGATCACATGTGTATCAGTCATCAGTTCCTCAGGAGGCTATGTACTCACAGTGGAAGGGGTTGGAGTTTTCTTATGGTCTCCGGAGATCAGCGGGCTGGGAGGGACTTTACTGGAGCTGCCTGAACCAGCGATGTGCTTACTGTCACCCTGAGGACGCTTGGTGGAAACGGAGGAGCCTGCGGTGTAGAGGGAAAACGTGAGCTTTATAAACCAAACGAGTCGGCGCTTATGGTGGCTATTGACCAGCAGAATGATGCTGTACTTTGGTCTGTGGATCTGCGGGACTTTGGATTGGAGGTATTGCGTTGTCCCTTGTGAGAAGGTGATTGGGCATTGTTTGTGAGGTCAATGCCTGGGCGGGGCTTTATTGATAGTTCATCCAGCTAGGAAAGAGAAAATAAAGGGTTCAAATTTGCATTATTACACTACTATGGTTAAAACAACTGCCATAAAAAAAACAGGAACTGTACAGTTAGGTACCATGTTTCATGTCATTTTTAATGAAGTCTCTAAAAATATAATCATATACATGAGTATATGAATGGTAAGGTGCCTATTTTAAAGACTAATTAAGGAAATTCTCTGCATAATTGGCTGAATATAGCAGTTATAGTAAGCATAACAGGAACACAACAAACAAAAAAAGAACAGAATAGAACAAATTTAAGATAAAAAAAACTGAAAACAAAAAAAACAATGAACCAAAAAACTAAAACAAAAAACCAAAAGCGACTTCTGATTTTTTAAAGTCGACTTTTATGTGATAAAAGTCGAGTCGAAGTCGACTAGTCGCTGATGACGTCATTAATGAACAAATAAGTCTGGAGCTGTGACAAACACCTTGTGCACAGCTATGGCATATGACACAGCGCTGCCCACATGGCTATTGCTCCTATAACAGCTTGTTTATCAGTTATTTTGTCTTTGGGTCGTTTTATTTCTCACAGATTTCTGCTCGGTCTAAACCAGATACAGATAAAGTAGCACAGTAAAGATTGCATTCATATAAATTCATTAGTGAGAGTGATTGCGGGTGTGAATTAATTCTACCTGGCAGCGTCTCTCTACTAGTAGTGAAGCTGTGGGATTTAGTTATGTCTTGTGGAGCGCTTTCGGAGTATGCATTTATTTGTCATTTTAACTGTTTGGAAATGAAGCGTAAATCTGGAAGTCCTTCAAAGTTTTATTTTCCTGTTGCGCCCATTACCAGCGACTAGTCAGCGGGAAGCTTAAAGTGTCATGGCAGAGCATTGAAGTCGACTAGTCGGTGCAACCCCTACTTTAGAGTAACATACCTCTGAGTTCCGATAGTCCAGTAATAAGTAAGTTGCCATGACATCATTATATTTTTGGTTGATCAGGGAGTCTTGTATCTCATCTAGAGAGTACCCCATCCGTAGCATAATATCTGAGAAGACAGACCAAAGATTTAAATAAGAAAAAAATATTTTAAGAGATATTATGCATCAAACCTTTAATAGTTTATAGTTTCATTACACAACACTAACCTCAAGTATAAGCAACACAACTAAATATATCCATTTTGAAAGTAACAACTATCAAAATAAAAGGAAACAATAATCATGCACAAACCACACACCATAGAGAGAAAAGAAATCAGGAAAGTGTTATAAAGCAGGACAAACATTAATTGTTGTTTTAACTCACAAATTAAGAGGCTCAAATGAGCTGATGTATGTCATTTAGATTCAGTCCCATCACCAAGATTTGTTACCCAACCATAATCCATATCGGTCTCAAACCCCACCCGCCACCATCACCAAAGCCCCGGGCCACGTCTGCCCCACCTCTCTTCCAACCCCCTGCACTGCTGGGGTGCTGACCTGTCCTCTTAGGGTCCTTGTAGTCAGGTTGGGGTTCGATGTAGGGCTTCAACTCGTCGTCCTCATGGCCCACGTTCATCCACCGGTCCTTCATGATCTGCTGCTGAGCGTAAGGAAGGAAAGAGTACAAGGTGAAGAGATCATATGGGGTGGGGCCCACTGGTATAAAGTAGCATGATGCAAAAAAAGAGTTGGCCTTTATGAAGAGGATACACTGACAGTCAACTGGGGGCAGCACTTCAAAAGCACATCACACAGTGCTGAAAAGCTGAATCAGTCCAACAAAACATATCAATCCGCAAACAGTTGTTTGTGCATAGTCTAAGCCTCAGACTGTACGCCCACAGACCTGATGCATTACTGCACACAAAAAATAGCAAAAGCTGGCTAAAATCACCAGATCTGATCGCTTGGCTTTTATGTAATTTCCAGGAATAAAGGTTTATATCAGTCTATAATTTTTACCAGGTAGCTGCACAGGCAGAACTGATCACTGGATTTATTTAGCTTGAGAGGTTCATGGCACTGAATCCTACATACAGGCAATTTATAAGGAGTTTATATCAAATTTTCAAACAATAGAAATTAAAATAGTTTATTTACCCTTCTGGTTTGTTGAACAGTTATATGATCTGTTGAACAGTTATATGATCCATTGGACCAGGGTCGTAACAATTTTAAGATCGAAAGAAAAAGGGTAAAACAATAAAATCTATACATAATCCGTATGAATAAAAACCAACCTTTGAGACATAAAGTGCCTAAAATTGAAGAAACACCAATATCGTCTTGGCCAGGATAAGGTGCAATGTAGACCAGACTTTACACAATAGTTAAAGGGTTAATTCACCCAAAAATTTTAATTCTGTCATTAATTACTCCGCCTCAAGTCGTTCCAAACCAGAAAGACCATTGTTTCTTCTCTTCCATTCACTAAAGTACCACGACGCATGCGTGTGGTGCTGCTGACGCAGGAGCCGGCGTTATGACATAGATCCCGGATCCGCTGCGCCTTGTTTACAAGCAGAGGAATGCACACACTTGCGTTGTGGTACTGTCGTGAATGCGCGTCGACTGACACGGAAGAGAATAAATTGCTGAATAAAGTCATTATTTTTGTTTTCTTTGCGCTCAAAGTATTCTCGTAGCTTCATAAAATTACAATTGAACCACTGATGTCACATGGATTATTTTAATGATGTCCTTACTACCTTTCTGGGAATTGAACATGTCAGTTGCATTGCTGACTATGGAGGGTCAGAAAGCTCTCGGATTTCATAAAAAATATCTTCATTTGTCAAAGATGAACAAAGCCCTTACGGGTTTGGAACGACATGAGGGTGAGTAATTCTTGACAGAATTTCAATTTTTGGGTGAACCCTTTAAAAGTCAAGACAGAAAATTGTGTAAGTATTTCTGAATGTACAAACATCAAGGCTCCCTCTCTTGGTTGGGTTGAGTATGAGTAATTTCTTCAGTAAGTTCTCACAGTCGGTCGACATGTAGAAGGGAATCCTGTACTTGCCCCTTAAAACCCGTTCTCGCAACTCCTGAGAACACAAAAACACAAGCATTCAGCATTTAAGTCAAAGCTGTTGACACTGACACCTCTTTCTATGCTCACCTTTAGGTTCTGTCCATCGAACGGCAAAGAACCGCTGACCAGTGTGTATAATATGACCCCAAGACTCCAGACATCCACCTCCGGCCCGTCGTACTTCTTTCCCTGAAAGAGCTCGGGGGCAGCATAAGGAGGGCTGCCACAAAAAGTATCCAGCTTGTTGCCCAGTGTGAACTCGTTACTGAAGCCGAAATCGGCAATTTTAATATTCATGTCTGCATCCAGGAGCAGGTTCTCTGCCTGCAAGCAAGGGAGGATTTTTAGTGATTACGTATTTAGGGATGAAACCAAATCTGCATCAGTATAGAAGACCAGTCACAAAGGCAGAGGTAAAGATATATCAAATACAGTGCAAAAATATATTGTGTACCTTGAGGTCTCTGTGGACAATGCACTTCTGGTGACAGTACTGCACCGCTGACACAATCTGCAAACACCCATAAAAAGCTGGTACTAGCTTACACACAAACTGCATCTCAACACTAGCTTACACACAAAC